GCCCCCCGGGAGGATCCAAAAAGTAGATCCCTTAATGGGGGTTCCCATACAGTACCCTTAGTAGTATAGGAGTAGTGTAGGGCCCTATCTCAGGCCAGGAAGCTCGGCAGGGCTGTTCGTCCGAAAATTATCCCAACCCAATTAGGCATTAGTCTTCAATGCATCGCGGAGAGGCTGCAATATGAACTGATATGAATTGGCCACGTGGTAATATTTCGTATGTCGGACTCTGGAAAGAAGAGGGCTCAAGGTCAGGTTTCCGAGCAAGAAACCCTTTGCTCTGCACAAGCTTCAAGCCTGATTCGGAATCTACCTGCCGCCTGCCCGAGCTTCGTTCGAAAGCAAGTGGCACTCGCTGCGGAATGTTGGAAGAAGGTCACCTGGCAGGATGCCGTCATCTCTTCTCGGCCAAGTTCTCCTGAGAGCCTTGGCTTCCGGCCTGTGCCCCGCGGGAGTTCCGCAAGGACCAGTGCTTAAGATCCGCAACAGGTGAGCCAGCAGCCTCTGCAGCCACCGCCCAGCAAGTGAGCATGTCTGAGACAGTCCGTCCTGCAAACGCTGAGGTCATGGCTGCCTGCCTGATCGACCCACACTCCCGGAGCACACAGGAGAATACCTTGTGGCGGCACTCCAAAATCTCTCGGCTTGTCTTTGCCTGAGGATGGCGACGAGGCCTTGGTGCTGCCAGGAAGCCATGACGAGCTCTGCACCCTTGGGCCTGGTGGAATGACAAGGTGGATCACTGCAATCATAACTGCTGCGACCTGTGAAGACGGATGCGACAATACCGTGATCGTAAATGTGGATCGGATATGGTCATGCTGCATCCTCTTCTAAGGGTCAAAAACCAACAGCATGCGTGTTGGCTGTGGATCGCTACCAGTATGCAACAACGTGACACTCAGCTTGAAAATCAAAGTTTGCGAACCCGTGAAGCATAAGTGTGCCGAATTCCCTGGACGCTGGAGATCGCCGAAAGACGGCACAGCAAATGCCAGGCCTGAGGAGAACAGGCACAGCCCAAAGTGGCCGCTTGCCAGGCCCCAGCTGTTCAACAAACTGCTGGGCGTTCTTCTCATCCACTTCGAGACCTCTGAATCTTCATCTTCAACATGTACTACTAATTACTTAAGCTTCGGTAGACTCTTCCCTGCAGATGTCAGGCCGGAAGTAGCATCAAAAGACGTAAGCAAACGCTAGTCCCGCATGGGATCGCTACCAGTGAGTATTGCACATGTATGCCTGCTTCGGACTGTGGACGTGAGATGCTCGGACGGGCTTAGGCTTAGGGACTGCAGAGCTTGGAGAAGTCGTAGTTCGTCACTATGTCGACGACGACGAAGGCCTTGCTTCCATACGCTTGTGAGCACGTTCCAGTCTGTAAACTCTACATTCACTCATGCTTGGGACTTCAACCAAGTCTCTGCATTAGGATGCAGGGTCTCCAGACAACAACGTGCAGTACAAAGGGGTAGAGCTCTCTGTCCTGCAATGATTGCAAGGTGAGGGCGAGGGACGGCAAGGAGGGGCAAAGTGCACTGTGCATGCACTCTGGAACACTCGAAGCTCGCTCCTCGTTGTGTCAGGTCTTCTACCTGCGCTTGCAGGAGTGCCTCTGCCAGCTTTCTGGCAAGGCCGTTGGGGTCTTCGAGGTCAACCGGCTCCAAGCCTCAGAAGCGATGCATGCTGCGCTTCAACGCGACCATCCCACAAAGGCTCACACCCAGATTCCCTGAAACTGCAGCTGAGAAACGTCTTTGCGCTTCATTGCCACGGCACGTCACAGACCGACGAGGCATGCCATGCGGGTGCACGATAACAGAACTAGACTTGTCAGACCCAAGTTCGGGGTCAAACCATCGCTCACAAGTCTAGTTTGGGCTTAGCAAACACAATCTGCTACAAGAGACCACGCTGTCTCTGTCTCGGTGCAGACTGATTGATGCAGTCTCAAAGCGAACGACGGCCACAGGACAGTCACAACACGTGGACATTGAACTTCTTCTGACTCAGAGGCTGCTCGCCTTGAGCAACAGTGCTCGAAGCAGAATCAAGCAAGTCGTCTTAAAACCGGTGTTCTCGGATCAACCACAAAGCATGTGGCCTTGTATGCAAGGAGGCAGCAGATTGTCTCTAGACTTTGCTTGCCCCTGTCCACGTAGTCTCCCAAGAAGAGGTAGTTCGCCTTCAGGCCAATGCTCTAATTTGTTCTCCAGAACTCATTCCAAGTCATCGCCTCTGGCGGGAAGCCACCACATTCGAACAGCTTCAGCAAGTCAGAATACCTGCAATGTTGCCAACGCACGTGACTGCCGCGTATCGAACCGATTTTGTCGGAGACATGAATGTCTCCGTGGCTCCATGTTTGCAGAGCGATGCACCAACATGACCAATCTACATACACGCATGCATCTATTGCAAGTCTACCGTCAGAGTGAGACGGTCCCCTTTCTCCGAACTCAGACCTGATATAAACAAAGTTTTTGGGCTACGGCCACCCAGAGCTGAGTCTCGGCGTGATGTACGACAGATTAAGCGAAGCCAGTGCTCATTATCTATGCGCTTTAACGACGTTGTGTTCAAGACAAGGCGTGTAAGCTTAAACACATGCCAGCTCGACTGTCCGTGCACATCACCGCAAATCTTGAGGGGACAACCCAGTTCAAGCAGAATCGGCCTGCAGTAGTGAGCGACTGGTGCAGCATGAAGCATCAGCGAGTTTGCAACTAGAAGTCTGTAGAACAAGGTTGCAACTGATCCATGAAGACCTCTCGGGCGAGGAAGCCTGGGAGAGATCGCGAGCAGAGCATGGCAAGGTGGCAACCGTTTTGTATCCAAGCAGCACAGACTGCTGATCTCTACTTCTGTCAGCTGGACTAGCTTGAGCGGTCTGGTGTGCCGCACCTGAGGATGGGTGCAAGGACCGGGAGAGACAGCCCGCGAACAGCAGACACGCAGTCCTCTAGTAGCTGACCGAGGATGCGGTCGACATCCAAGGCCTCGCCACGGCCACCAGTCTGGTGACGCAGCGAGTCACAGCGCTTTGCTGCCGCCTCCATGGTGTGCTATTGCTGCCAGTGCCAGTAGCACGCGCTGTGCCACAGCAGGCCTTGCAGGCGCACGACTCTCGGCTTGCACGCTTGCACGCAGTACTGCAGAGTCTCCGAGCTAGCGGCGGTACCAGCGGCATCAACGCCAAACCCGCATGCCAGCATGCCACCCACCCTCCCTGATTATAGACGCTGCGAGATTGAATGGCGAAGACAAGACACATGCCGAATCAAGAGGAATGACTCTGAACGACATCCACAAGTGCGCGCTGTCGGCTCAAGCAATCTTACTCACTTGCTCTGATTTTCGCGCGATTACGCACCATTCAGCATCGTGAATCGCGCAGTTACGACCTGACGATGGCAGGCAATCGTTGGCTTCGGAACAACTTGCACACATGCTGGCACCACGAGGGCCATCCTGGCTCGAATCTTGGCACTAAGTCCACAACTCGTCTGCACCACTTTGGGCACAGGTCTTCTCTGCCTCGCCACCAGCCGCCTACAGGAGATGCAAAAAAAAACCGTTCAGTTCGTCGTTGACACGCCAGCACGCATGCCTTGCCGGATGCTGCACCGGTACCACCTACAAAGCGGCTCAGGCCCAAGAAACAGCCCGGCTGCGTAATATTGCGTATGCTCTGCCATCGTGGTAGGATCCTGGCTTGTGGCGCCGCTCGCCTCCCCACCAGGCCCTCAGAGCGAAGCGTCAGGGGATCTTGGCATCTTTACGGCCACAGGCGAGGTTGAGCGCCTGCTCTGCTCTCCTACCGATCGGAGCTAAAGCGGGCGTTCGAACTGTTTGCCCCCAGTCCACAACACCCGGTCTTCCCATCTTGGATATAACCAACTGTAGGAAACTCGCGAGATTACCACAGCCGGCGTCTAGCGCAAGGCAGTGAAGGAACCACATCGAGCGCGTGTCCGGATTCGAGACAGCAGCATCGAGAGGGTAAACTGCCCGGCACAGCCTGTAGTTGGATCACCAACATACTCGGGGAATCCATGAAGGAAGACACCGAATTGCAACTTAAGTCGGATGAGAGTTGGACCTCTTAATCCCGATAGTGTGGTTTCGGTTCGCTGTTCCACTAGATCATGCAGTGCACCGCAGATGTGCCAAGCTGCACGTGCACAGAGGAAGGGAAATGCTGTACAAGCACCCAACCTCAGTCTCAAATTCAATGTCAGATTTTAGCAAAACGCGAATCGCTAGCATCCGCTGGCGTCGAGCTCGCGTCCCCAAACAGGATAATCAACTGTGGCAAGAGAACCGACGACTCAAACTTCACCATGTCAGAGTATGACGAGTCCGACACAGCCCAGAGAATAATCAAGGCATAAAAAATGAAGAAGTTACCCAGCGCAAAAACGCAGCATGGGTTCGGGCAGCAGAAATCCTGCTGCACATCATTATCGCTCTTGTCTTACTACGCGCTTCCTCCAATGTCTGTACACGGCCTCTGCGTCGTGAAGACTGCCATGGCATCTCGATTCTAGCTACTAGATGACTAGATGGTGCAGTTGCAAACAAGACCAGTAAATAGCAGCACACGACGCAACGCTGTGATGGGCGACAGCGCCGTCATGCCAATCAAGTGAGGGGGTGTCAACCCAAGAGTGCTCAACAAGGCCGAAATCCTATTGATACAAATCAATGGGTGTTGTTGTAGAAACCTTGCAGATTGTAGTCGCCGACCCGAGCGACTGCGTAGGCCAGTCAGGCAGGGCTGATTCTTCCCGCTTCGACAAAGGCCAGTAGCTTCAACCACCCCAACTCTAACTAATCACTCGTGGCACAACACATCCACTGGTCCACCGGCTGGTGGTCGAAACAGGAAGGCTTGAAACTGCGTGAATCGAAACCTGTACGACACGGAGATGTGCAGCTCCGTGGCTGGAAATGCGACTTTCGTAGATCTTCCGTTGCTCTGAAGCTTCACAGCCTCTTCACTGACCAAGGGGTGCAATGCCCAGACTTGCTCGTCTTCGTGCTAGCAGACTGGAGCCTCCTGGTCCGATGGGCTTCACTGGACGCAAAAGGAAACATCCGGCTCGCTTCCGTCCTGGAGCCCCGAAGTTCTTCTTGGGCTCCTCGGGCTTTGGCACAGGCGAAGGTGCCGCCGAAGCTGCTGTAAAGGTCGTATCCTTGCATCAACGCGCACAGACCAGCTGGAGCTGGACGTTCAAACAAATTTGGCGGCTGCTGCTGCTGGTCAGGCAAGCGGCCCTTGAGGAATTCAGGGGCTTGACAGCCACGACAGGGCTGGGCACCTGTGGAGGCTCCACGCTGGGCTTCCCAGGCCCTTCTTCCTGGCTCATCAGACTAACATGGCTGCCTCAGTGTGGCGGATGCGTCAAAACCACATTGCTCGTGTTCCACGAAGCCGTACAGCAAGGCCCGTAGTCCGAAACTCGTTTTGGAAGGACAAGCGGCCTTCATCTGAATAAGGGCCGTCGCCTGAGAGGCGAAGGCAGATTCTGCTGTTGACAGCATAACACGCTGCGAGGCCGCCCTTTTGTGAGGGTCGAACTGATCCTCCCATCCAGGATAAGGCTGGGCGAAGACACCTGCAAAGGCGACTCTCAGCCCCGATGACTGGCACGGGAGCGAAGCAGTCCACCCCGCCTTTCGCTCAGGCTCGGGTGGGGCAACTGCCTCTGCCTGCGCGGTCGGACGCTCGAAGTGGTATCTGGTTGTGCTGCATAGCTGCTGAGCTGGCTGACAGATGCCTTTCCGGCGGGCTTTGATGGACTCCTTTCCAGATCTTCTTGTACGCCCTCCAATGGATTTAAATAGTGCTTCATGGACAACCTTGGCTGAGTGAGCTCGCAGTCTTGCAGCGACCTACGAGAGCAGACCAGCTTCAGGATGAGTCGCTTGTCCACTGCAGAGGCCGATCTCTGCGACATGTGGGACATTTCCATCTTGCGTTTCTGGAAGTCCTGCTGCTCTCTTCGGTCAAAACATTCGAAAGATCTCGAGTTTCAGAATGCCACCGGCCAGATTTGACAAACTGAGCTGAGGCAGGCCAGTTCAGCAAAGAAAGCAGAAAGCCAGGGTCCAGCTGAGAACTGAGCACACCTCAGCTGCGCAAGAGTCGAGCGGCTCGTTTAAAGACAAGTGCAGGCAAAGCACGCTGATTCTGAGCGACTGCATCAGGACCTCAGCTGCTGAGCTCTCAACACCGGATCGGCTTCGGCTTCGGCTTCTTAGGAAGCCGACTCGGTGGCACGAAGGGGTTGAAGTCCTGAAGCTTCAGAGTGCAACATGGTACGAAATCGATCGGAATGGAAAGCTTGTGTCCTCGGAGTCGAGCTGCGACCCACCAAAAAGATACGTAGATGCAGACAGCCCGGACTGCACCGAAAGCGTTGTACCTGCTCGCACTTCCGCGGCCCATCGTCTGTGACGGTGTTGACTTGTCCGCATGATGCAGCTGAGACGGCGACTGTGGTTTGCCTCAGACATGCATCGAGCCGCAACAGCTGGCGTCTGAAATCTTGGCTTTCCATCGCATCTACCAGATAAGTTGCAGGAGTCGACGGAAGCGGCGCGAAGTCGCCCAGGGGTGTCTGTGGAATAGCACCCAAGAGCTTCTCCACTTTTTGCATGGAGAAAGGGCCCGACCTCTCCGCGAACAGCTTCTAGCGCCACTGTTTGACAAGGCCTACCGCACTTACTATCTACGTTTCCTCAAAATGGTTACATAGTTAAGGCGAGCTTCTCCACGAGCGCTGTGAGTCGCTTGGCAAGTTTGGACCCCTTGCCTGGGACTCTGCGCCAAGCCGCTTGCGGTCTCTCAAAGTCTGTCTGCACATGTTCTGTCGAGGAGCTCTTTTTGTGGCGGACGGAGATATGCATAGTCTCACAGTTCCAGCCAGTCATGACCTCGCCATTGTCCAGTCAAGGAAAATGCTGATGATCACACCAAGTGGAATGCCTTCTGCGTCAGCTTGTTCACCTCCGGGCCGCCCTTGTCCGCATCCGCAGGTATAGCCTCGGTTGCGGAACCCACGCTCAACTCTGGGCCTCTGCAGAGACTGCTGGGGTTCTGGCCCACTTGTCGGGCTCCCGCTGACCAGAACCTTCGGTGTCCTGCCAAGAAGGGCCGGGCTCGAGGGCACAGCCGGATCGGAAACGTACCTGCTACCCAAGCCAACTAGAAGTGTTGACAGCACTTGCTCTGGTAACCTGGTGTTGCACCCCTGCCCGAAGATGGCACTGTTGCTGCACGGGTGTCTAACAGCACATTCTTGGACAGGCGCCTTCAACAGCCTTCATGCATTGCACCCAGACAGCTGCGCTGCCGGGATCAAACAGTTGCAAGACATGGTCTTTGGAAAATGCCCTCATTAACCATCCATGTGCGAAAGACAGGAAGTGTCCTCGAGGCCCTCTGCTATGTGCTCCAATCCGTCCTTTCGCTGCCCCAGGACTAAACACTAGCTCCCTTCTCTCCTTGTCTGGGTCACAAGATCTGGGCACCACTTCCGGGTTAAGGACTTCCACTTCGGCGGTTGATGAGAAACTCGCAAGCCACAAGTGAGACAGCAGGCCTGAAGACGAAAGTCGTTGGCGCCTGAGCATCCGAGACTAGCTCCGACCAGATACCAACCGTTGTTGCGTCATCATAAGATGCGCCACTTCGATCCAGACACCCAGCCATGTGACACAGAGCCCAGACACTCTCAAAGCTACGCCACAGTCCCAGAGCGGCCGCTGCGGCTAAGATGTATTCTCTGAATCACGGTCTCGGATGCCATGCTGACGGAACAGCATTGCAAGTCGAGCCACCCTCCATGACTTCTTCCTCGACGCGGAGACAGAGACTGGAGGCTTGTTCTGGCTTCCACTGCGTGCCTCTACGAAGCTAAGTCGACGACCTCCGCTGACATAGGCATTACGGAGGACATGCCCTTTGCCTCGGGGCAGTGAAACTGAAAGTGCAATTTGTGGCCATCAGTCATAAAGGTCATCAAAAAGCAAGCCAAGGAGCACGAGGCGCGGATGGCTTCGGCGTCGGAGCTGGCAGTCTCTGAACGGCCTGCCTAGACGCCAGAATCGTGGCACCGTAGTCCACCTGACAGAGTAGAAAAAGTAAGCTCTGATTGGCGAGACACTCTCTGCCTGCCTTTTCGACGAGCAGATCCTGCTGCTCCTCGCTGCCGGGAAACAGTGCGTGATATACTCACACAATTCCACTTGTGCAACTTCGTGGGTGACTTCCCCATGACGTGCAATCGGTCCGGCATGATGCTCATGACGGACCCAATGCAGTCGCCGTGAGTAACGATTAGAAAATTTCTCCTTGCAGAGCGAGGCTGTCAGCATCTTGCAGCCGACCCACTATTCTGTGATGCTGGCTTCGCCACTTCTTCACGATCTACTCTGCAACCCTGCAAAAACAGATTAAGAGGAAGATTGCACCTTTTTGTTTGCAAGTATGCCCTGATCTTCAGCTCAGCCTGTTATGACGTACTGGGCAAATGCAGGCACGGCGCTTGGCCACAGCTCCACGCTGTAGATACTGCAGAAAGCGTAGTGCAAATCTCCGTCGCGCATCTTGCAGCGATTCCGGCCACACCTTGGAAGTACGATGTTGCATACGGCAGTCGATAGGTGCTTAGTGCACACAGACTTTGCTCAAGCTACGAGCTCATGAGGCAGTTGGTCCTAGGATTCCGACCGGTCTTTGTCCGACTGCCCTGGTCACAACGGGGACGTCGTGAGCTCTGCAGTAGTCTACCTCACGTTGGCTCCAGGGCACGCACACCCGCGCGCAGTCTGCACAGAAGCTCCTCACACTCCTCTTGTAGTCTGGCGACAGCCACGGTGAAAGCCCGGAGGTGATCACGAGGTTGTGCCTGCGTCCCATTTCTTAACCCCTAGCAGCTCCTCACTATGTACTATGTAGCAGCTCAGCCTCCCCCATCACGGACGGGCCATAGATTTCACCCAGGGAGTGGTCGATGAGCATCTTGACCTTCGGTCCTGCCAGCATGGAGTGGTCCTATGCAAAGCAAGCCAACGTAGAGTTGGGCCCATAACTGTACCGCCGGTGAGCTGGTTGTCAGAAGCGGTGGTATCTTGACTAGGACTAGGCATACAGGATTGTCGGTGTGGCAGCGGTCAACTCAGCTTGCATCAGAGTCTGTACGCAGTCGCGCAAGGGCGTGATCCTAGATGCTGGCAGATCTTCACCGCCGTCTGAACACACCGCGAGTACGGCGAGCACACGACCACATGGAAGTCGGTGCCTTTCCTGACAATTCACAAAGATCCAGGTCACACACACACACACACTCACTCACACACCCCTGCATATGTATTTCGAACCGATTGCTGTCTCACATGTTCATGGAGCACCACCAATGCACAGCCAGAATTCTGCTCGGCAAATTGCCGAATGTCAACTCCCAGCACTTCCGCCTGCAGGGACCCAAACATCTCTGGCTCCGCTCTCGCTCGGGCCGCTGTAACAAGAACAAGACCTCCTTTTGACCCGCGTCACTGAGCGGCGGATCCAGAGGGAACCTGGGCTAAACCGAGACTCACGGGAAGGCACAGTGCAACGAAATTTCGTGCCTCGCCTTCTGCAGTCCTCTGAGCTCGACCATCTGCCGTTCTCCCAGAAGGCGAAGACTCCATCAGCACGCTCCGCGTGCCGAACCACTCCGAAGAGTTGTGTCCTCGTGCGAAGCCACCAGGACAGGCGACACGAAGTTCTACAGGAGCTAACGGCATGCACAGACATAGACATGCGGAAGTCTGTATGCACATCCATACACATATGTGAAGCATAAACACGTATCAAGCATGCACGTAAGCATATACACGTCACATACACAGACATTGCACGTATTTGTACCTGTAAGTATATACACCAGTATAGGGTTACTTGCTTAGTTCCTGGGCTGTACAGCATGTCATGCTTTATTGTACTATACGCCGCATAATATGCATGCGTCGCATGGGTGTGTCGATTATGCATATCTGTATCGCACGTATGCAACACGTCTACAGAGAAAGAGAGACATGTTCATGTATGCGTGTACAGTATGCGTACACGTAGGAATTCACTGCTATGACATGCGATGTCAGCTGCCATGCAACAGTTCGCATGCGATCCTGCAATCACGTACTATCAATACTCAACAGTGAGTAGTGGCACATGAACGAATAAACCGACTTACAAAAACACGCGGAAGCAGCAAACGTAAGGAAAAATCCAAAGTAAAACATGCCGACATGACCTTAAATTGTCAGTCTAGCCCAACGACTAGCAAGTCACGGAACATCAATGGCCTGCATGACTAAGATCTGACGATCTGAGAGCAGAACGGCAATTTTCTCTTTTGCCATCCGGCCAGCAGCAAGTTGCTAGACCTGTCCATGTCACCAAGGCTTGCCTTAGGATGCTCTCTCATCCTTCCGCCCGTCTCTACCGGCCCGGGCCTCTTGGTTGCTTTCAGAGCAGACGTCACATTTCCAGTGGAAGCTTCGTTTCCCATTGCAACAAGCCGTCCCTAAAGGACGCTTGAGCTAAGCGCTGCGAAGGTCGCGGTTTTCAGAAGTTCATGTTGACCATAGCACAGACTGGCGCGAGGGCAAGCAAACGCAACAGGGCAGCTCCCCTCAAGGTCTGGACCGAACCCAGGTGGTGTAGGGAAGCCGCCCAAACCTAAAGAACAGCTAGGGCTTGGAGTTTTTGAAGCAGATGCAACACATCAAGCCCGAGGCACCGACCTCCCAGACCTCCCATGCCGCCCATGCCAGGCATTCCTCCCATTCCCCCGAGAGGCCATTCTCCGAGACCCTCGCCCAGTGGTCCGTACCTGCCACAGCAGGATTGCTGCGGACTCTCTAACTGTGCTCGGGTGGAAGCTACTGATTTCGCCATCTCGCGGAAGACTGTGCAATGCTCAGGCAGTGGCGGGTTGCCCTTTAGATCACCTGGACTCGAAGACCACTGCACAACTCCACACGCACCCTCCCTACCCCTCGAATCAGCCGTGCTCGTCTAAGGCACCGAAAAGGGAGCTGCGACCACCCATACCGCCCCTTTCAGCGCCGCCTTGATGCGGTCAGGTGCGAAGCAGAATTTTTGCTTGAGTCCAGTCTGGGAACGTTGCGCCGCCGACGGTTGGTGTACGGCTGGTACCTCATCTCAAGCCGGCATGGCCGACAATCTCAGACACCGGCTTCTTACAGCCATGCGCACGTGGTTCTGGCCATCAGGTGGGCCATGATACCAAAGATCACCATTGCCCACACCTAGAAACAGCCGAGGTTATCTGCACGGCCGGAGCACACAGGATCCCGCAGGTGACTCAGAAGTACTTGGGGCAGCACGACGGGAGGCAGATGAAAGGCTTCGGGCAACCAGAAATTGCACCTTAGACATCGCACTGTGCACACCTGCAACCGACACCCGAAAAGCACAACATGCCGCTGCCGATTAGGTCCCGGGCCAGCCGAAGATGCTCTCCATGGGATCCTTGCCACCTTCCCTCTTCTTCCGCCTGAATAAAACAAACTGTCTACCTGTTTTCGCTGGCTCTCAGACTTCCTCGGCGCCCTGCTTGCCATCGGAATCCTTCTTCGAGGGCGGCTCTTCACCTATCTGTCCGATTCTGAAGCTACTCATCTATCGATCTATGCTGTCAATGCGCCGAACTATGCAGTCTACCTGCAGGTGTGGACAGCAACCTAGATTCCAGATTCCAGATATTTAAGGACACAGCCAGCACTAGCACCCATCGCCGGACTGCTCATAGGTGCCGTGCCTCGCAGTGCTCATTGTTGAATCAAATCACCACCCCTGCGCATGACGCTACCAAGGCGCGACTGGATGCGCCCTGCTCAAAGGCGCTGAAGCTCTGGGCTGGCGTTTCCTCGGGACAAGAGCGATGGCCGCATCCTCATGTCACAGGCTTGAGGCGAGAGCTGCTAAGATCTTTTCAAAGTGATGTAGTGCGACAGGATCTCGTGAGCCCTGACGCCGACTGTCACTGCACCGTCTCTTTGAGCTACAAGCTCGGCCAATGGTAGTCAGTGGTGGAAGCGCAGGAGCAGATAAACACAGAATACCTTCTGGCATCATAGCCGCTGGTTGACAAGCCCGTCCTCCTCTTGAGTACTTCGAAGGAATGCTCGACGGACAACGAAGTCTATCTCTGCAAAGGTGTAGTTGGCGGTAAGATCTTGGTGGCTCTGGCAAGCTGCTACGCCAAGGCCGCACTGTACCACGGCTCTTTCAATAGATGTCCCCCCGAACGTAGTGAAGGCAAGCAATGACATTCAGGCTCCGACTTGCTATCGTGTCGACAGCCTGGCCACGCAAATAGGCTGCCAAGGTATCACCTGGATGATGGCTACGAGCTTCACCATATTCTTTACAAGCAGTACTGTGATTTTTGAATTCATGATTCGCCTTGCGATCGCGACTAAATAGGATCCTGGAACTCTGGTGGCAAGCGTCGACAGGTCGACAGCTTCTCGCAATGCCGATCCCCACTGGGCATCTGATCTGGAGACCTGGCCACAAAGCAGGCGAAAGAGTCCCGGCTTTCCGGTTCAGCCCCCCAAACCTGCATCAATTGACCACATGAGATGCTCGCAAGAAGAGCCTGTGCGAAGAGCTTCAAGAGAAACTGCTTGCGCTCTGCCTTCAAGGCAGGCGGTCTGCCAAATTTCTGTCGAACAGCGCTTGGGATTCAAGAAGCCACCGCGAAAGTGCCTGGCTAGGTGGTGAAACTTGCACCATGAAGCCAAATGGAACGAGCCTCGAAAAAGCAAGAGATGGAAAGGTCACTGCATCACAACGACACTCCCATTCACTGCAAGCAGGTTCCAAATCTGACGGGCTCACTCGATCGCTCGAAGAAACTGTCTTGGGTCGGAGCCTTCGGCACCATGTACAGTTGCAGAAATCACTACAGGAAGCTGTTACAACCTCAATACTGAAGTCCAGGGGTTGCGCCGGCAGTTGCCACGCATGCAACTGGTTGCGAGCCCTCAGCTTTGGCCACCTGGCTGAAACCAAAGCGGCCTTGTCGATAATTCCGTCACCAGTGCAAAATCGGAGCAGGCCACATACTTAGCCCAGTAAGGAGCCTCTGCAAGGCAGCGCCGAATCGACAGCGCGGCTTCCGGGGCGAACTCCTGCAAGTGCAGGTTGGACTTAAGGGTTTAGGGTGTGGGATGCATCTTGAGTTGACTGTAGACTGCACTTGAAGGATAGCTGAGGGCCCAGCGAGCCCTTCGACGAGTATGAGGACAGGCTTCTGGAAAGCAGAAGCCTGTGTGCTTGTTGCTGTCCTTCAAAAGCACTCCACGAACACCAGTACATGGAGCACCAATCAAGCCTCACTGACGTCCTGCAGAAGTCTGTTTTGACGGCATCAGTTGCTGCCAGGTGCAACACCTGCTAAACAGTCAGACTTTGGAGGCTGGGCAATATTCAGCCAATGACTATCCAGATGCATCCTGAATACAAGCGTATGTGCAGAGATTGATATGGGTATGGAATGGATACACACACATACTACACACAAGGATACTGACACAGACATCATCGACCGTGATCATCACCATCACCCGCAACGGCAGCATCACCACCATGAATGAGCAACATGAAACGTCGAAGTGGAAAAGGAAAATACTACAAGAAGAGATTGACAAGACCAGGACTGGGACTGCTCACAACGAAAAGGAAGTGCAAAACTTACTCAACTTTCAACATCTTGTTTTTTCAGTATCGAGCCCCCGGCCCGGGCGCCGGCCAATGCTGCCGCTGCTTCTGCCGCAGCTCTTTTTCCTATCCCTTCCGGGCCGGAAAGCAACACGGCACTCCGCCTTGGCTCAAGACGAAAGGCACACGAAAGTTACAGTGGGATGCGCAGGAACGGCGCACTGCTGGGTGCCGGGCTCGGCTGAGCGCCAAAAGATGCTGCCGACTTCCGCCTCCAAGTTGCAGCTCGCTTGAAGTCATGAAGCTTGCGCTGATTCACAGGTAGCTTGGGTAGCGAGCCAGCTGCAGCGGCAATGTAACTGCCTCCCGCAGCACCGCCTTCTGCTGGAAAGAACAAGCTGCAAGCCCGTGCAAGCATGTAAGCATGCTTTGGCGAGCGAGGGCCTTTGCTTCCTCGAGACCGATGAGGTCAGCTAGCTGCGCTTTCGGCCTGGTATCTCTCAGCAGCGGCCTCCCGAACGCTTCGCATTCGACATCCGCCACTCTAAGGAACCCCACAGGCCGACAGTCCAGGTGTCAGCCTGTCAGCTGTCGCCGAGCACTCTGCCTGCACATGTGGCTCTGGTGGTAACCTCTCAACTCAAGCACTCATGGAACGCTGCACCTCTCCCTTGACATGCAGCAGGAGCAGCAGTTGAAGAAGCTGCAGCAGCTTTGGCTGCATCCTCAAAGGTGCGAATGGATCTGGATTGACCAGATGTTGTGACATCGGTGAATCGTGCAGAAGTCAGGACGGTCCTGCTTCGGCGTGAGGACGCCGAAGAACAAGACTGCTTCTGCTTCCGTGATTAAGCACTGGTTGGGAGTACTCCATCACGACCTTCTTTTGCCCTCTGGTTAAGGAGCACTGCGTATCAGAACCAATGCAGTTGCACGATGCTCTATGCCTTGCAGATCTCTGCGATCTGCCAAGCTTGAATGCTAGTAGTCCAACGGCTGACGAGCTAGAATCAATCATCCCAAGGTTTCGAAGCTCCACAGCATGGACCAAAGCTGCAGCGACTTTTTGGCGTTCAACGCGGACTCAAGCTTCAGCAGGCACCTCAGCATTGGAGTCAGCAAAATCGGAAAAGAGAAACCATACAAAGTCGAAGACCCTAATGAGAGCCCTGCTCCTTCCCAGAATCTTCTGTACTTCTCGCTCCTTTGCAGAAGTTCCTGCGACAGGAGCTGAAACGTGCTAAAACCTCTGGTTCCGACCCACAATGACCCTCGTTGCTTTCGAAAGGACGCCTCGTGAGGGCCTTGCTCGCGGATGACTCCACCCTTGCAGTTTGGATCACTCGCACATGTTCATGCAAAGAATGTGGAGGCATGCTGCTATGATTCGGCGATCATGTTAGGCTTGGATAGGGAGAAGGTGCCTCGAGGAAGGCCACGACATCACATCGCTGAACAGTCGCGAGCCGGTGCGCCACAACCAGGCAAGTGCGTCCTTGGATCCGGACGAAACTCGCAAAAATAAGGCTGCATTTACAGTCCTAGCCTACACTTGATTATTTTGCATGCTGCACATCGTCTGGAGACTAGGCGGCCCCACCTTTCATGAGCTCGTCCATGGCTGCTGCTAGCGCCCGCTCAGTGCGGACATCGAGGGCAGAAGTTGCCTCGTCCAGCAGCACAACAGACCTGGCAATAGCTGACTTCCTTGTCAGTGCATCCAGAAAGTTGCAGGAAGACAGAGTCTGGGTCACACACGGGTCTGCCAATAAGCATCGTGCAATACCAATTCGCTGCCGCCTGGAAGCACACAGCAATGCTAAGCAATGCTGCCTCGCTTCGCCCGATGGCTTCACTTCTTGAAAAGCGCCTGAGTCCCGTGCTCCCCGCCACTCAATTTCATGCCACGCTCCCCGACGGGTGTTCCGAACCCTGTCTGCGCGTTGTCTTCTTCTCAAGCAGAGGCTTTGAGAAAGCGGTTGAACATCTCTCTAGTTCCTATACAAGGCATTGAGGAGGTTCTTGCTGCTCGAGGCCTTCAGGCAGAGATCGAATCTGCTGATGGATCTGCGCAAGATCTGCAGCACGTTCGACCTGCTAAAGGAAAAAGGAAAGGGTGGATGTTCGGAGGAGTCAACCAAGTAATGGAACCGGTGTACATATACATGCATAGGCACGTATACGTCCAAGACTTGTTACACAGCGATGTAGAATGCCAATATGGGATACATGCTTACGAACATACCCGCATGGTCTTCAAAGTTCTTCGTCGTACACATCATGCACAACAAGTCGCACAAAGGAAGACATATTCCCCCTCGTACAGGTTTCGCTAAGGATAGGCTGGTTCGCATGGGCAAATCAACAGCCATGAAGACGCCTAGACGGAAAGACATGCAGAGATCCAGGCAAGCACCCAGCCAGGCACCAGACAGAGTAGACACTTCACGCATGCACGCCACGTCGCTTTTCTCTCACGTACATACATGCATGATTTCTTAACACAACAGAAAGGGAAACCCGGTGTTTCCCCTTCCTTAAACAAACAGAGACAGGCAGGCAGACAGGCAGACAGGCAGATGTGTATGTACATTCACACGTAGATACATACATACTTTCGCACTTTCCGCGTAGCAGAGTTCGATGCTCGGCTGTCGCTACTGGAGGACAGGCGTGTAGCCCGGCTGCGCTGTGTATTTAACACATCCTCCCCCACACCAAAGTTCGGTAACCCCAGAGAGCAACTCGGGCCCTCGGCACTAATGCCCTTGAGCAGGGCCGGTCACAGGACGCGCAGTATAAGTAAGGATATAAACATCAGAAGAGAAAGAGTCGATAGTAGAGCCATCAACACGAGTAGCCACAACAGCATCATCAGTCAACCAGAAACTGGAATGGTACCTATCATAGAGTAATGTCCTATAGTGACCGTGAGTTGGGGCTTCGCCCAAATGCAGCACCACTGAGTTGAGGTGCAAATGCACACTACGACAATGCAGGCCTCGTTCAAACACCGGAAAACGAATCTCAGTACTCGGAATGACCCTATAGCGACGCTTCAGAGGCCTTCCCGATTGGCTGTCGTAGTGAAAACGGCTAACCTGCAAAATGATGGCCTGCGGAGGCGGCCAAGCAGCAAAAACCTCATCTTGATTGTGCCACGCTTGCACAAGATCCTGAACCGTATAAGCATCCCCACTATCAAGACCTATATCACAAGGAGGCACAAGAGTTAAGGGAGTAGAGTATCCAAGATCCTGAATAAGGTGATTGCCCGCCGCCGCCGCAGATCTGGCTTGCCAGGAAAGCGCTACTTTATCAAAATTGAAGAACGGACACTTGGTCAGAAAGGCGAGGAACTCCGCCACATCATGTTGTCGGGTGGGGTGTGCCCACCCTTTCATCAAGGAAAGCCACTCCCCTTGCTCCCATAGGTGGAAGATTTGTCCTGCAGATTGCAGGATGGCGCCAACCACTCGTGCAGCATCCCCACTGAAGAGTGATTGTCCCTCCATGTTGCAATCAAGGTAAAGCAGGCTCAACATCAGCGCATTCGCATAGCAGAAGCAATGCTTATTCCCCAGCTGGACACTCCTCACTGTGTCAATGTGGAGAGGCGTTTGGCCAAAGCACTCATCTGTAGGCGCTCGTGCCTCAGGAAACATCCTCCTGAGGCCCAAACCGCTGACCGCTCCAGTAGGTGTAGCATCCGCCACGTTGACTGGGCAGCTTCGGTCCTCATCCCCACCTCCAGGAACATGGTGATCACCGGCGACTGGTACTCCGCCGCCAATTGGCGGGTGGCATGGAACCTCTGGATGACGAGCTGTTGGGGGGCACACGTCAGGAGCTCGTCCAATGCCTCCTCGATCTCCACGACATCCAGGCTCGCGATGGTCTCGTCCTGGACGTGTGCCTGCTGCGTGGTGTCCCACTTGAGGCCGTGGACTTTCCGGCCACAGCTGGATACCCATCCCAGGCTCTCGGCCTTGGATCGTGAGGAGGGTGTCCGCATCATCGCCTGGAACCGTTCCTTGATTGTCTGGACGAAGTGCTGGTATAGCGTGACCCGCATGGGATGTCGCAGGGCAGTGGGATTGTCCCTCTTGGTGTCGTGCCACGTCTTGCCGATCTGGTACATCGACTGGGCCAGGTTGTCCGGCACCTGAGTCTGGACAAACACCATGAACCCGGTGTCCTGCCTCTGGATATTCTGCTGCACCTCCTGGCGGATCACGAGGGTGGAGACCATATTCAGGACATTCTTGATCTCCTGGAGCTCCGCCCGCGACAACTCCATCTTGTCCCCGTCCGTCTGCCACCAGCGGTTGCCCGATGACGCCTGAGGATTGCCGTTGTTTTTCCAGGAGCTGTTGGAGCGTGAGGCTGGGCCGAACTGGGAGTTCCTGCCCTTTCCTTTTTGGCCGCCCTTTTGGCCGCCCTTTTGGTCGGGCTTGTGCCACTTGGGCTGACGTCCCTCCGGCTTGTCCCGTCGGCTGGGCATGTCCTTGTCCTCCGGATCGGTCTCCATGTTCCACTCCATTGGCCGTCGCTCCTGGGACCCCTGAGGCCCCATTGCCCCCATCCCTGATTGCTGGCTCACAAGGTTTCGTAGCAGGCTCAGCTCGTGGGTGGCTGCCGTCAGTTCCGAGGGGATGGCCTGCTCGGGCCGCATCAGCATGTTGTCGAACATGGCAGTGCAGAGCCTCCGGTCGGACGTCCGAGATGGCGAGTGACTTGCCTCTGGCCAGTCTGCGGTGCAAGTAGACACCATTAAACACTCCAATGCAAGCCCTCAGATGTGCATCCTTTCTACGAAACGATTGTCCACAGAATTGACATGGATTGGACAAGCTGAGCTTACTGGCCACGATTTCCTTGATGCAGCTCTCAACAATCTCCTGGTACTCCGGGTGCCGCTGCTTCATATGTCTGCGCACATACTGTGGAGAGGTGCTCCAGTGGTGGCATTCTAAGCAATGGTGGTGTTTGCTTTGCACACAAGGGAGTAGGGCCAACTCTTGCCAAGTACAGTCCACCGACTTAGCAAGCACCACTGGTGACGCGATCAATGCCTCCGTGATCTCTGGCAAGACACTAGCATGAGCCTCTGGGTTCTGGGACAAGGCTCTGAGGGCAGCACAGCTCTTAGAGTTGATGTGATAATGGAAGGCATGCCACGTGCTGAAAGCGTGCAGGCAATGCTTGCATTTAGGCATTCCGTCAAGGGCATGTGCCATTTCCGCGCCCTTAATGGACTCCTTGACTTCCGCAGACCTATCCAGTTGTTGCTGTTGACTAAGATGCGTTAGGAACACATGCCGGCGGAGAGCAGCTTGAGTGGCAAACTCCTGTCCACAATCGTCACACTTGAAGATCTCGGAGAGTACTTCCTGAACCTCTTCAAGTCGGGCCGCGGGGGTAGTAGTTGGGGCGGAGGCAATTGTGTCAGGTAGTGCCCACTCATTCCGCCCATCAAAGAGATGCCCTCTCACAATGGTCCGCCACTGTAGTTGACCTGGGCCAGGGGCCAGGGCCGGTGAGAGGGTTTCATCCAGGGTCACACGCTGCATAAGCGCATTCTGAAGCCGTTGCACTGGGTCCGGGAGACGGAGTCGCCGAATGAAGGCCTGGTTGGTCTCCTTTGTCAGCATGCTGTGAGACTTGGCAATAGCACGGGCCTGCTTGATGAGCTGTGTCTGTAGAGTTTGGAGTTCCTTCTGAGGGAGGCCCGTGCAGTCCAGGGCGTGGAAGAGAGCCGGCCATACGCATCCCTGCCAAAGTTGCAGGCGAAGCCGTAGAGGCACTCCGCGGTTGCGAAGTATCACCCCCAGCCTGGAAAAGGTGCATCTTGCCAAGGACAATCTGTGCTTGAAGGTGTCCTGTTCAAAGTGTCGAAAGCCGACCACCGCTCCCAAGTACACATGCTTAGGCACAATCTTGAGGTACAGAGTTTGATCAGCAATGACAAATCGGAAACACTTGCCTTGGGGCCGCTCGACGGTATATCGGGCCAAAGCTCTGGCAGCTTGGGCACCCTGCAGCTCCAGAATCACTACAGTTTTGTCCTGACTGATGAGCATACCAGCATTGAGGAGGCAGGCCAGGACATGTTTCATTCCAGCATAGGCAACCTCGAGGTCTTTGCCTTCGCGAATGGTCCATCGGTAGTGCTGGTCGTCTGCGTAGCTTGTGTTTGTCTCATGGACATTCAAGAGCTGAGGGTCATGCATCCGCTTAAGCAGCCAGCCCGAGAAGATAGCCCACAACGTGGGCGACAAGCTGCAACCTTGTCGCAGCCCTCTTTTAAGAGAGACCGTTTGCTTCAACCCACAGTGTTGCAGGGCCAATTTCGCTGAGTGGTGAACCAACATGATGAGCTGTATAAGTGGTTCCGGGATGGCGGCATCGATCAGGGCCAGCCTCAGCAGGGGCCATTGAACCAGATCATATGCCGACGTCAGATCCAAGGACAATTGACATCCTCCGTAAAGGCTCAGGCTGGTCCGGCCCGAGCGCTTGTTGTGAATGTTGCGGGTGTTGCCCTGCACGAGTCCTCTGACCTGAGCACAGTGTCCAAGTACTCGTTCGAGTGCTTGTTGTAAGGTACGTCCTTCCACATAGGCGAACTGTGGAAGTGAAGCAAGGTATGCCTTGGCAGGCTCCTTGAGTCTCTGTGCCACAATCGAGGCCAGGATCTTGGCCTCAGGAGCCAAAAGCGAAATTGGTCGAAGGTGGGCAGGAGACTTCAATGGTTTGCCTGGTTTAGGCAATAGCACCAGTTCACATAGGGTCCAGGCTTCGGGGAGGTTGCTGACGCCAGGCCGGAGGTGCCATGCAAATTGTCGTTGCAAAAGTGGAACCAGGTCCTGCCGAAAACGTTTCCACAATGCAGCCGGAGCATTGCAGGACGGCATGGCCTTACCAGGTTGCAGGCGGCACAGGGCATTGTCAATCTCCACTCCTTCAATGCATAGATCTGCTGACAGCTGGGGAGGTTCCATATCTGCAGCATGGTACAGTGACGTGAAGTGCTGGACAATCTGTCGGAATTCAGCCTCGTGGGTCTGTAAGCCACCATCTTCTCGGCGGAGTTGAATCCTGCGTTTTGGTGTCTTTGGGGCAAACCGTTTGGCAGCCTGATGGATGTTGGTGGCTTGGACAGCCTCGGCCACCTTCTCCGTCTTCTTGTGACGGCAGGCTTTCCGGAGGGCGCGGGTGTGTGCCTGTAGGCGGGCGGCACATGCCCAAACTTGGAAGCTGTGTCTCAGGGAGGGTCCTGCTCTGCTCCAGGTATGCAGCAATCGGCCCGCCTGTCGTAGAGCAGCCCGTTGTGTCCATAATGTGTGGACCTGTACTGTCAGGGTATCTGGAGCACACGGTTGAGCTGGTCGATGGGTCTCCTTGTGGGAGGGCTGGTTGGCCACAGCGCGCTGCCACCCTGCAAGGATCAAAGCATCAAAGTTCCAAGCTTCCACCCCTTTCTGAGTCTCGTCGCGAAGAGCCTGATGTAGGTCAAGCTGCAGGTTGTGCACAAAGTGGGGCTGCTTCAGAGCTGCCTGAACCAGGCGCGGGGCTAACCGTTGTTGTCGGGGTCCATGGGATGGTCGCCTGGGAGCAGGGATTGAGACCCGAACTGGTAGGTGTCGACAGCCTGTGTTTGGGACAAACTCAGCAAGGAATGGCTGGGCTTTCTTGGCAATGGGGTCCGGCGTAGTGCCACGAACAAGGATGTAATCAATCTGGGATCCCTGCTGAGGTGTGGCATTCGGCGGGACATATGTCCTGGCCAAGAGACCCGAAGCCGACCAGGTATTAAGAGCACAGCACCGATGGGCACGTACCAGTTCTTGGAAGGTGTCCTGATCTGGATGTCCTCCATGTGTGGTAACCACCCCCTGTCCACAAAGAACTGGTTCCGGGAGAAGTGAGCAATTGAAATCACCGGCAAGGAGGCAGGTGCATCGTTGAGGGATGGACTCGATCCACTTAGCAATGCGGTGCCATACGTGGCGGCGTTGCCGCAACATCTCTTCCTGCCGGTTTTTCCCATTGAGCTCTGCTTTCCCAGGGTTCCAAGCCCATTGATAAACGCAAAGGACATCTAGTGGTACAGAAAAGAGGATCCGTACGTGCAGCAGCCGGCCTGGTTCCACCACGTGGTAGCGGATGTGGTCGGAAGAGATGAGATCCTCACGAACCAGGCACAAGATACCATCATGTCCGCGCCCAGCACTGTGAATGGCATGCCACCTGAGCGGCTTGGAGCCTTCCAGTGTCGCCACGTATTCAGAGTCCATGGGCCATCCAGTTTCCTGAACGATACAGATGTCATACACACGTCCAGCTTGGGACTCATTCTGGAGCCAGACCAAAAGTTCTTTGTACCTGATGCTGTTGAGCCCCCCGCTGTTCCAGCTGAGAAGTCGAAGTCTGGGGGCCTGTCGGACAGGTAGACCGTCATTGGCGGGACGTCGTGTGTGTTGTTGCAGCGATCCTGGTTTGGGACCCGAGGTCCCAGGAAGGTATCCACGGAGCTGCTCCGCAGAAAGCTGCTTGCCTTTGTACCAAGTGGTGCGAGTAGCACTAAGTTCTACACGTGCAAGTGCACGGCGAAAAGCCCGTTTCCGAATGGGTGTGGGGCCACTGGGTGATGGCCGGGATGAGTGACGAAATGCACTCGATTGCTTCGCCCTGGCATGGGCTGGTGATACAAGGTGTGAGGCTTCAGAACCCCTGCGGTGCTCAGCGGGTTCAACCCTCGCATCTGAAGTGGCATGTGTGAGCGTAAACAAGTGAAGAAGAACAAGGCCCCAAAGGATCCAAGCGTGTAACATCATGCCACTTCCCTGGGACTTGGGACCCAGGCGGCTCGCATTGCTCGATGGTGCTGGGCGTGGTCGTAGGTGTAGCCGGTGGTGCCTGTGGGAGTCATCACATACGGTAGCTTTAAGGCGCGTCTGTGGAGGACAAGTGGTGTCATCGCCGGGGGCAAGGCCATCGTAGACACACTGGGTAACCAGGAGGAAGTGTACGAAGATCCGACCGAGCCTCAGGACGGGAGATGCCACTATCATTGTCACAAACAATGTGGTACGGAGTAAGGCCGCCCGCCAGGTACTCAAGGATGAGCGCATTCGGTACCTGGCCAGTGATGAAGTAGCACAGCTCACATACTGCAGGGATGGGTGACCAACTGGCATTGACACATAGGCGCTCTGCACGGACTTTTTGATCATCTGGTGAGTGCCGTGCACAAGTGTAGTGATATATGCAGCAAGAGCACAGAAGCAGGGCCGGAGGCCCATGGCCAAAAACGCACACAAACTATGGTTGAGTGCATGCCTGCCCTCTGACTCGCCTAGGCTCGGCCTACTCAGTCTGATCTCTGGGGCGCCTGAGCACCAGCTGGGGTTTGGGCAGACTGCTGAAAAGTGAAGCTGAGCATGCGGTGTCAACAGCCATTGGGACAAATAAGGTCGGGACTTGCGATTGGCTTTGGGCTTCGGCGTCGGGCTCTGCATATTGTTGCTGTTGTCGCCGCCTCCCAGCCTGGAGCTCCTGGTATTGGATCCCGTAGCTGCCGATCGCCTGGTGGATCTCATGGTGGACCCGCTGGACCCGCTGGCCATGCTTGGGCCTGTTGTGGTGGCTCCCGTGTCCGTCACCTCGATGGTATCCACGGTGCCCTCTTCCGCGGCGGCGTCGCCTTCAGCCTCTCCATCATCCATGTTCCACACCGCCCACGGGTGGTCCTCTCCCCTAGAGGGAAGCCGGAATAGCTGACTTCCTTGTCAGTGCATCCAGAAAGTTGCAGGAAGACAGAGTCTGGGTCACACACGGGTCTGCCAATAAGCATCGTGCAATACCAATTCGCTGCCGCCTGGAAGCACACAGCAATGCTAAGCAATGCTGCCTCGCTTCGCCCGATGGCTTCACTTCTTGAAAAGCGCCTGAGTCCCGTGCTCCCCGCCACTCAATTTCATGCCACGCTCCCCGACGGGTGTTCCGAACCCTGTCTGCGCGTTGTCTTCTTCTCAAGCAGAGGCTTTGAGAAAGCGGTTGAACATCTCTCTAGTTCCTATACAAGGCATTGAGGAGGTTCTTGCTGCTCGAGGCCTTCAGGCAGAGATCGAATCTGCTGATGGATCTGCGCAAGATCTGCAGCACGTTCGACCTGCTAAAGGAAAAAGGAAAGGGTGGATGTTCGGAGGAGTCAACCAAGTAATGGAACCGGTGTACATATACATGCATAGGCACGTATACGTCCAAGACTTGTTACACAGCGATGTAGAATGCCAATATGGGATACATGCTTACGAACATACCCGCATGGTCTTCAAAGTTCTTCGTCGTACACATCATGCACAACAAGTCGCACAAAGGAAGACATATTCCCCCTCGTACAGGTTTCGCTAAGGATAGGCTGGTTCGCATGGGCAAATCAACAGCCATGAAGACGCCTAGACGGAAAGACATGCAGAGATCCAGGCAAGCACCCAGCCAGGCACCAGACAGAGTAGACACTTCACGCATGCACGCCACGTCGCTTTTCTCTCACGTACATACATGCATGATTTCTTAACACAACAGAAAGGGAAACCCGGTGTTTCCCCTTCCTTAAACAAACAGAGACAGGCAGGCAGACAGGCAGACAGGCAGATGTGTATGTACATTCACACGTAGATACATACATACATACATACATACATACATACACAACATACACGAAGATGAAAAACACCAGACAATATGTATGCGTATATAATTACACATGCATATGGATGTACATCGGCACATGCCACAGAAGGCGCAGCCTCGGCATCTGTGGCTTCGGGCCTCCCGTAGCGGATGTTGAAACCTGGCAGTAATGAAGTGTAAGCCTTTGGCTGTTCATGGCTGCGTGTTGATCTTGCCCACAGTTCGGAGATAAGCTCAAAGCTGATCGTGTCGTTGAACAAGGAGCAGTCCTGCCAAACCCCTGAAGTAGAAAATGGACAGCAACCAAACCTTAGACCTTGCATCAAGCCCCGCCTGCGGAACTATGCCCAGGTGACGTCGGAAGGTGAGTGGATCAAGCAATTTCAGATCCTGACCATCCATCAACACCTGGCAGGTCAGCAGCAGCTTTCGCGAATTATGCTCTGTATGCCCTGATGGTCATGGACGAGGCTGCATCCGTTCGGCCTGCCCTTGCTGTGGATCTGCAAATCGGTAAATCAAGCGCAGCAACGTGCTCTTTCCAGATCCTTGAAACTCCCAGGCAAGCTTCCTGGGAAGAGGCAAGAGACGTCTGAGTGCAAAGCCCGACGGACCAACAATGGCCATCTTGGTCCCAGCCGGCACTGCCTGGCATTTCAGGGCGTTGAGTCTATTTCTGTGATGCTGCTGTTGTCTACTACTGCAATCACGAATTGTGATTACACCTACTCTTAACTCCCATTGCACTGTAAGTAGTCTTGTTTCGGATATTGTCTAGTTCTCCACTTGGTGCCTGCTCTTGCGCACTTGTGATATGACGCTTTCCTTGGTGAAGATCGTGATGATGATGATGATGATGAGGAGGAGGAGGAGGAGGAGCAGGTGTTACTTAAAAACTCGCGTCCTATGATGTTTTCAATGTTACCAATGAACCATCGAAAAGTGGTTAATCCTCCTGTCACTATTGCTGCGAATTGTACAACTGGTGCCGGTGTTGGTGGTGGTGCTGCTGCTGCTCCTGCGTGCTGCGTGCTGCATGTTGCGTGCTGCGTGCTGCGTGCTGCATGATGCCGCATGACACAACTACAACTATAACAACAACTACTACTACTACTACTACTACTACTACTACCAATTTTTCAATTGAACGCTGCGCGAGCGTGCTCTGCGCTTTGCGGGCGCCTTTGGTCTCATGCACTCGTGAAACTGCTTCTAGCATGCATCGCTCAGGTCTCTCTAATCAGCTCGAACTTGACAAACTACTGCAACTGCTACTGCTACAAAAAGCTTCCTTCTCCGACACCTTGGTGTGAACAGACGCGTCCATCTGTGCACCTGTCGCAACAATTAGGCCGTACCTCAGACGAAGCCGCCACCTGGAGTATCCGTCTCGTGGCGTCCCACACGGATTACTCATGTTGAAGACAGAAGGCCGTAAGGTTCATGTGCGGATGACCGCTGGTACCTGAAGCAACTCCGGTGGCGTGAGACTTTGGGCAGCTAGGATGTGGGCAATTCGCTGGAGCGCAAAGTGCTGTTTTAAGCGAGGCTAGCACGCGGGTCACATTCTTCCGAAGAGATGTGCTAGGCGTCGGAAGAGTGCCGAATTCCCTGAGTCTGTGACATAAGGGATCATAGAGTCTGTGACATATTACCGCCCTCACTGGTCATGACCTTTTGGCCACTGCTGAGAGTAACCATGCCAGGACCACTGCTGCCACCAGTCCCAGTCGTCGTCCTGAGATGAGCGAGCCTGTCTGGCCCACTGGGACGAGGAGGATGAGGAGGGGCCATCGCGCTGCCGCTTGCCCTCTGTGTCAGCCTCCTGCATCTGTGGGCGCTTGTTAGGGGCAGCAGCAGCCAGTTTGGCCATGCGCTTGTCCTCTTCGTTCCCCTTGTCATGCTGTATCCGCATCTTCATGATGGAGTAGGCATTTTTGTCGGGTTTGACCCGGAAGACACGAGCTGGGAGTCCGGCTGATTTGGCCGTCTCATTGTAGACTGCCACTATGGTGGTGGCGATCATATTGAACTCGACCCACGAGGGGAAGTGCTGCCGAAAAGCCTTTTCGTCCCACATCTTGTTGAAGCAGGCATGGATAAGGCCATGCACCTTTGTTGGTGCGTCCAGCTCACGGTAGGCGTCACCCGCGCCTGTGGCGATGGTGACCTTCCCATCGCTTGTGAGGACCCGCCTCACCGACATGGCGGTGTCCCATGTGAGGCCGGTTTGCGTCCTTACGGACTTGATGGCAGAGAACAGCGGCGGAACTTCTCGGAGTGCTTCCATCCTGGTAGACCAAAGGGTCTGTTGTTCCTGGTTGGTGAGGCCGCCAAGAATGACTGGAGCCACCAGGATGTTGATGGAAGCTAAGGCCCGAATCCAGTCCTGATGGGACTGGGAGCTCAGCAGCTGAGCCAGCTCCTGCCGTGTGTAACGTACTGTCAGCCGTGGAGCCGGCTGTGGGACATAGCCGACGAGTTCCGCATTGGATTCCGGAGGCTCATATGCTGACGGGGGACGGGAAGAGGGAGGAGGGGGCGTGTGGGAGCGCGGAGCGGCCTGGGTGGCGGGGGTTGGGGGAGAGACGGACTTGGGGGGGTGCGGAAGGATCGGGGGAACTGGAATCGCCGGAGGGGGAGCTGGTGCTGCCGATGATGAAGAGGGCGGGGGGCATTGGGTGGCCACCATGGGCGGTGGGGCCTTAACCGGAAGCGCCGGGGCCGCCTTCGGTGTCTCTGCTTGGCCTGCTTTGAAAGCCGCCTTTTCAGCTGCTGAGGAAGTGAAAGGGCACGGGGGGGAGGGTGGCGGCTCAAAGCCGGCTGCTTTGTCTACACCTTTGGTCCTGGTACTGCTGGGGGGAAGAGGAATTTCCTGTGGGAGCTTGGGGGGAGGGGGAGGGGGAGGAGCGTGGGGGTTGGGCGTGGCACTGAGTGCTGGGTTGTGCTTCTGAGTGACAAAGTGGTTCTTAAGGCCGTGGCTAGTGCTGAATTGCACCTGCCTGTTGTGCTTCCGGCAGTGCAAGCAGCATAACCACATGTCCCCCGAAACTTTCACTTGCCCTAATCCTCGAGGGATAAGCTCCAGCACATCCTGCTCTGTAAGGTCTTGGTTGTAGTGGTGGGTTTCACGGACCGTAGCCATGATCTCTGCAAAGGAGTTGTACTGGATGCTGTCGGCCACATAGGCTTCAATGTCCTCCTGAGTGGGAGGAGGGGGAGCCGATGAGGCCGTTGCCATGGTCTGTGACCTAGGCGGCTGTGGTGAGCTGTGCTCTTCAGGTCTGTCAGACTGGATTTCAAGGGAGATGTCAGGGAGCTGGCTCTGCAGCATGCGGTCTGTGCGTTCTTTGGTGGTGGGGTCTCCCTGAAATCCCTTCAGCCACTTCCAGCACCGGGTATATGCAACGGTCGTGTTGTTGGTAGTCACGAAATAGTGGCCATCATTGTCGTACTTCTTGTTCTTCACTCGCTTGTCCCAGCGCTCCGAGAACAGGTAAATGGGGCCAAATTTGGTGGAAACATTCCATCCCGGCTGAGGGGAGTGACCAAGGTCACGACCCAAGATCTGCCAAAGATATTTGCAGAAGGTCATGTATTCCAAGTTTGCCTTCGCTGTCATAACCTGACGGCTGAAGGCGTGCTGTATGGCTTCCCTCATCAAGGGGTGTCTGGGCTTGCCATAGATGATGCCTTGAAAAATGTGATCTCCTTTGACTCCTATGGCCATGACCATGAATTCCTGTGGGAGTTGGCCAGGTGGGGAGGGTCTGTGACCCACTTCACCTGCCTTCTTTGAGTGAGCTGTGCTCCAATCTGCTGCGAGATACACGAGTACCTGTTCCCAAGGTACCACGAAGCCACATTTGATGTCGACGTAAAGGCCGCCGTGCTGGTAGTGGTAGACGTAGCGGAACACGTCTGCTCGATGAGCAGGTTGGCTGAGGCGATCTAGCAGATTGGAGCCGTACTTTCCTGCGAGTTGCCGCAGGGTAGCCCGAAGAACATCATCATCACAGAATCTGCGGGTGAAGCCAGCAAACATTTTGGCCGCAACTTGGGCCGGTTCCGGCTTTTCGTCGTGAACGTAGGTCTGGAAGAGGAGGGCTGGGACAGGGGCGGCTTCCCATTCTGGGAGATGTGTGAAGCGCATTCCCCAGGGGCCATGTCCGTATTGCATGGCTACCTCCGAAAGATCACGGACCGTTCGGCATTGTGACAGAGCCTGGGCAGCGAGCATTTCGACATGCATGTCCTGCTCGCGAGCGTTCCAACCAGCTACCACGAGGACAGGCAGTCCTGGGGTGTTGCGCATTTCCTCGATGGCTCTGGTTACAAGCGCCGGGATGACAATGTCCGCGACGTCGGGGCGGAAATGGAGATTCTTGGAGTTGTAGAGCCATTCTACCCCTCCTACACCAGGCATCTGGGCCAGGTCCATGATTTCCTGGTTGTGCAGGTTCTTGTCCGCAAATCCATATTGGACCCTGCCATCGATCAGGTAGTCATAATTGATTTGCTTCTCCGGGCGCAGGCTTCGGGACAGCGGAATGAAGCGAACGTTGATTTGTCCGTCGAGGTGGTTCTCCAAGATGGAGGCCACCGGCGGACTCTGCACTGCCGCTGTGAATTTGTGCGGCCCAAAGAGCCCAAATTGCCAGTGGAGGAGCTCCAAGATGGAGGGGACGCTGCCGGCAGAGATGTTGAGGGCGGCGCCTGGACAGCTTAAGACCTGTCCCGTCAGCAGCGGGAACACTCCGTAAGTGTGTCCCCGCAGCATGTGCTGCAAGGTGCTGTCGCTGAGCACCAGAAAGGGGCCCAGACTGGGAGGTTTGTCCATGGTCTCAGCTGTAGCTGATGGGCCAGAGTCTGTGACACGCGGCCAAGTGGTGAGCTGTGCTCTTCGCAAAAACGCAGTTTGTTACGGAATGTAGCTTCTGCAAGGCGTGTCTGTAATGCATGTTGCAATACTCCTGCCGCTGTTTCCGGTAGTAACAGTTCGAACTGACAGCTGCGGTGTACATGTGATGCTTTGCAGAGTCTCAAGACCAAGCACGAAGCTCAAGCAACGCAGGACGACTATAGGCAAAGAACACCAGCAGAGGGCACTCGGGCTGGATAGCTGGTGCCGTGTTGTAGCTGAGACCTCACAGGAAAGAGCAAACGATGATGCAAGTAGCTGAGTGTTGGCATGCTGCAACGTCGGTTTCTCTGGGCAGGTGGGCCACTCTTCGCTGACTGTGACAAGTTGGGTGGCTGTGCCACACCTGATTGGAGGCTGTGCCACTTTCCTTGCGTGAGTCAGTGAACCGCCTATGGCCCGAAGTGCTCAGAAAAGTCTGTAGTAGTGGTCGTAGAGAGCACTGGATTCCTCTGCTTCTCGGCTGATGGTTGCCGTTGGCCCGTCCGGGTTACAGGGGTTCCGGAACTTCTGCACCACGACCTGTTGGTTGTGCTGAATGTGGATGGTGAGCTCCTCGGACGCGAGGTGCCACTGGGGCGTGTCAAAGGACTGGACCATGACACGTAGGCCGAGAAACATAGCTGCCCTGGCAGTGCGGTGTGGACTTACGAAGAGCTTATGCTCGACCTGGGAGAGCACTGCGGCGCACCAGGATTTGCTGACCGACGCCAGTGAAAGGGCTGTC